TGGGTAAGAATTAGATCTATTTGCATTGCTGCTTTAATTTCATACCAGCCTGAATCTAGATACCATGCAGATATCCATAGTACTTGACACTTCAATTCAGTTACTCTCCCACCAGGATTATTTCCAAGATGCTAACTTAATGCAGTATCCTAGTGGATTTTGGTAGTTCAGAAAATCCAGTGAGCTCTTAAAAGTCTATGTTCTCATGTCAAAGGTTTTTAACTAGTTTTTTTCACAGACCCTGTCCTCCCTGTCAGTATTATTTACACAATGTTCTTAGAAGAGGCTGGAGGATGGTGGCAATCCCAGTTCCGAGTAGTCCTACATGCTATCCTTATAATTTTTTGAAGAAACCATCAACTTTAGGTTTTGCTTTTGCAAATTCTACAAAGTGACACCTGCTGGCTACAAACATTCGGTACAAGGAAATTCTACAAGCTCTTACTCCCTCTCCATTCCTCTCTGAAATCAATAAAAATATATATATTTTTTATAAACCTTAAATATAACCAATCGTGTAACTTAGAAGCAATGACTATAGATCAGTGATGGCGAACCTATGACACGCGTGTCAGAGGTGACACGCGAACTCATTTTTTTGGTTGATTTTTCTTTGTTAAATGGCATTTAAATATATAAAATAAATATCAAAAATATAAGTCTTTGTTTTACTATGGTTGCAAATATCAAAAAATTTCTATATGTGACACGGCACCAGAGTTAAGTTAGTGTTTTTCAAAATGCTGACACGCCGAGCTCAAAAGGTTCACCATCACTGCTATAGATTGTAGGGAGTAAAGGCTATACAAAGATAGTATACTATATGCTATAGGTAAAACATGTAATCCAGGCATTACAAACAATCTTAGTAATTCCTAGGTTATTGTTATGGGAATCTTATTAAACTATTTAAACAAAATACCGGATTTCATACTTTGCCACTGTATAGATGTTAAGTACGGGGTAAGCGGTAAGATCAGTAGGAACCACCTTCGCTGCATTGCTGCAGTTGTACCCACTTGTGCCTTTCCTTTCACCATCCTCCCCTAATACTTTCCAGGTCCCATCTTCCCCAGGCAAGTTCTTTAACCAAATGCCCACATTATTTATCATTTCAAGTTTCTAAGTAAAGCCACCAAAGGCAGTAAAACAGAATCCTGTTGTAAGCTGTATAAATTATACTGTCCTCATTAGAAGAAATTTTCTAAATTAGTCTTAAAATTCTTCTTGAAAGTCAGTAAATATAGATATAAATATCCTCTACGTCCAATATTTTTTTCACTTTCCCGAATTCTTTAAACTTATCATTTGCTCTTCATTGGGCCTTCACATTATGCCACTGAACAAAGCCTTTAAAAAAAAATAAGCACAGGAAACTATGTTAAGTACACTTCTAGAATCATACAGAGTTCATTCTCCTGATGCTTCCACTCCACTCTGAGCTAAAATTCCTTCCCAGGTTTGGGGAACTGCGCTCCTCTATCGCTGTCTCTTTATCCAGGGGGTGAGCGCGGCCATGCCCCAAACTCCAGGACCACTTGCACTTTCGCTGCTTCTCCCTAAACTCAGGTGACGGTGGTTTGTTTGGCAGTTTGTCAAAAATAATCAGAATGTAAAGCACTTGGTGATCTTTAACCAAATGTATTTGCTGAATACACAGCATTTGCCACAGACGTGTTTCACAGGTTATAACAGAACACAGTGAGGGATGTACTACATAGTCAGAAGCTGAACAAACTCTTTGAGAACTGTTCTTTCAAATAACTTCTTGTGAGCTAAAAATGTTGACTAACCTTTTTTTAAGAATACCATTTCATGACAATTATTGCAATTATTGTAACCTTCTGAGAATGACCAGCTTCTTCCATATTTATTACCAGGTAGTTTGTGGAAACTGCTATCAAATAGATCCCATTTTCTGGAAGAAACAATATCAGAATAGGATTTGTATTCCAAACCAAAGACACAGCAATGAAACCGTAACTATAAGAGTAATTGCCCATGGCAGCAAAGATAAAACCATTATCAAATTTTATAATATAAAGTGTCAAAATGATGCATCAAATTTTTTACTTCTAACATTTATCAGGTGTCTGTTCTATGTCAGGCACTGCTAACAAAAAATAATAATAATAAAGAAGTGGTACTTGCCACCATCAAGGAATAAAGAGTCTAGATTTACTGAACAAGTAAATCAATGTTTGGTGCCGGCAGGGTTGTTGGGGGGTGAGGGGGGAGGGGGGGCTAAGTTCTATGAAAGAGAGATGCTCAGAATCTCTGGGGACAGAGGAGAGGCGTCTACATCAGCATCGTGGGGTTCAGTAAACACTTCCTGGAAAAGCCGGCTCAGGCTGAGCTGAGCTGCTAAGAAGAATTGGCTGAAAGAGAAGAGCACTCCAGGTGAGGGAACAGCTCTGTAACAGGCGGAAAGCAACGTGGACCATCCAGGACACTGAGAGTTCCTGTTTAGATGAAAGTTTGAGGAGGGACAGACTCAGGAAATGAGAAGGGAGAGCATGGTAGAAGCCAAATTATGAAATGCTGTGAGAGCTACATTTAAAGTTTCAACTTTATGCAGAAAGATAGTCCCCCTAATTCTCCAAAAGCTTCTAAAATGGATTTTAAGCAGGGGAGTAAATGAGTATAATTTCATTTTTTAAAGCTCTATTTGCTTTGGTCTGGGATGAGGCTAATACAGTAATCCTGAATGTGGGAAGGGACATTAGAAATGGAGAGGAGGGAACAGATCTGAGAGGCCAAAGGAGATAGAATTTGTTGAACTTACAAGACTGATTGGAAGGGAGGATGGAATGAGAACGAAGAGCCTAAACTAACTTGGTGACTAAGTGGGAGATGGTACCATGGCCTGGAAGACAGGACAAAGGTGGTTCTGAGGCAGCAGGAAGGAATGACGGGTTCATTTCAAACTACCTTGGACATTATGTTTTCTATGCGTTGTCCAAAGAAGCCCTAGAAAATATAAATCACATGTAAAGGTTATAACAACTAACTCTCCTGTATGAGACCTAAAGTTTATTGTGGCAATTACATTCATTTTCATTATTTAATTAGCAAAGATTTCCTAATTTTCTTAAAGTTATGTTGGGGGTTGGGAGAAGGGAAATGTTTGGACACCCAAAGTCTCTTTTACAAAGCAGATCAGGAAAATTTAAGTTCCTTGTCCTCTCAGAATAGTTCCTTGCAGCAAACTGATATAGAAAATCGTTCTATTGACCAAAGAATATTGAGCCTTTTTTTTAAAATAACCTGCAAATGAGACCTACATTCATTAGAAAACTATTATACTCTCATAAGATATCAAAAGGTGAAATATATTTTCATTATGTAATATTAACACATCATCATGAGTTGTGCATAGTTTGTGCAAACCAAGTTTAGAAACCAGAAAAAGAAAAAAAAAAGAAACTAAATCACCAACTTACACCATACACAAAAACAAACTCAAAATGGCTAAAGGACTTAAATGTAAGACAGGAAACCATAAAAATCCTACAAGACTCGATAGGCAGCAAAATCTCAGACATATGCCGTAGCAATATCTTCACTGATACTGCTCCTAGGGCAATGGAGACTAAGGAGAAAATAAACAAATGGGACTACATCAAAATAAAAAGCTTCTGCACAGCAAAATAAATCATCGACAAAACAACAAGAAAGCCCACTGCATGGGAGAACATATTTGCCAATGTTATCACTGATAAGGGCCTAATCTCCAAAATTTACAGAGAACTCATACAACTTAACAAAAGCAAGATAAACGATCCAATCAAAAAATGGGCAAAGGACCTAAACAGACACTTTTCAAAAGAGGACATTCAGAAAGCCAAGAGACATATGAAAACATGCTCAAAGTCACTAATCATCCGTGAGATGCAAATCAAAACAACAATGAGGTATCATCTCACACCTGTCAGAATGGCTATCATCAAGAAATAAACAAATGACAAGTGCTGGAGAGGATGTGGAGAAAAAGGAACCCTTCTGCACTGCTGGTGGGAATGCAGACTGGTGCAGCCACTGTGGAGAACAGTATGGAGTTTCCTCAAAAAGTTAAAAATGGAACTCCCATTTGACCCAGTGGTCCCACTGCTAGGAATATATCCCAAGAAACCAGAAACACCAATCAGAAAGGATATATGCACCCCTATGTTCATAGCAGCACAATTTATAATAGTAAGATTTGGAAACAACCTAAGTGCCCA